AATGCATGAAAATCCTAACCTCAAAAAAATCACCCGTTATAAGTATTTAGTCAACCAAATTTTCCTGTTTATGGCCTGTCTTTAAAAGCATGCACTTCTCGGAAGTGAACTACTTAATAACCACTTTCCTATAGTTCTTTCTTTTAAGCAATACTCAGTTATCTTTCTTTAAAGTTATTTAGTTTTTATTGTCAATTTTATTTGTTGTAAATACAATACCTCAAATTTTTGGTTACATCAATCTTTAGCCAAACTGACTGAAATGTCTTTTTTATGCATTTTTTAAGTAAATTTTCTTTTAGTTTTTACATTTTATTGCTTAAGAAACCAAATTTTTTTTTATTAATTTTTTATATTTTTACTTTATGTTTTTCCCTTAACTGATTTTTCCCCCTTTTTTTGATTCAGTTTTCTTTTAATTTTTAGATTTTATTTAAAAACGAAATTATTAATTTAATTTCATTTTTAGAAACTTATTTTATTTTAATTTTTAGATTTTATTGTTTGAAAAAGCAAAATATTCAGCCTTATCTGAGTTTCATTTTCTCAGAACAGGTTCACTTTTCACTTTTGGTTTACATGTTTTTACTATGGGCGGATGACAAATTTGCGCGTGATTTTTTTTCAGGCGAAACCCAGGATAAGGCAGATTATTTTAAATTTCATCCTTTTGCTCACGCCGCTCCAACAGTCATAATGGACGACTGAGCAAAACACTGATATTATTAAGATTAATTTTTAGAAACTTATTGTATTTTTTTTATTTTATTGTTTTAAAACAAAAAATATTTTTTTTTATAATTTCATTTCATTTTTTAATATTATTTTTATTGATATTAAGTGAATGATTCTCATGCTTAATGGGACTCGGCCAAAATCGCTTAGGCGGTTACAGCGCCAAACAAGAAGAAAGGGAAAAAGTTGAGAAAACCGAGCCTTCCATGACCTGCAAGCACAGCTTCGGCTTCTAAATTGTCCAGTCTGAGAGGTTTTGAGCCATTTTTTGCGCTCTTAAAAGCTGTGAATGTTTCGTTGTCAATTCATCCATCTTTGTTTAATACATCTGCAAATGTATTACATAAGAATTACTGGTCCTAAAGCTCTTAATGTTGCCTCGATGTAAATCTGAGGTTACCACTAATTTTCACGCGGATCAAATAGTAAAGTCTTCTCACTGAAAAGCAGCCACTGTAGCCCAAAATCAGAATGTTATAGTATGGCCGAGCTTCTCCACCGATTTGTGGCTTACACCTTGATGTTAAGTTCCCCTTAATAGGCCCGTTCCCCTGCAAAACCGTTAATCCTACGACACTCAAATTTTACAGGAGAGCGAAAAAAAACTTTCTCTTTGAGGGCATTGACTTGAAAGGCGGTATTTTCTTTAGCTATTATTTTACAAATCTGTTGTTTTAATAACGATTTGACGATTTGTATGCATAAATCTCGATGCCTGGAGTTCAGGGCTACCAAATCTCAGTTTTGCTATAACGGCGATTTAGGCGATTTTGCAACTGGTCAATCGGCGGTTTTGCAGAGGCATCGACAATTTTTATTTCAAAGGGTTCTTTGTATATACATATTGTCTTTCCGCTCCTTTCTAGTGTGCCGGGGTATTTCCAATGAGTTTTTGATGAAAAGCCTACAATCGCAGTGGGTATTTCACTATTCCTTTTTGTGCTGAAATTTCTTGTGGAAAAAGATTGCCCCAGGTTTAGGGTAACCTACAAATGTAAAGAAACCGATATTTATCAAACCTGCATAAAAAATCAATAATTTATACCTTTTTCTAACCTAAAACTTAAGTTGGTTTCTTTCTTATCATACTTTTTTCGAATGTTTGCTTTAGCCTCTTTTGTTTGTTATGAAGTTTCTCTGCTTTCCCTATTATTTAGCATTATTATACACATTAAATTCCTGTGTTGTCACTAATTAAAAAATCTTGAACTTCTATTTCATTTTTATAGCATTTGAATATATCCCCGATTCTGAAATCACTGGACTCACCGGTTCCGAAGAGGATCTCCTAGATAAAGTATGCGTATATTTACTTAAATGCACAAAATTTTTATATATATATAAATTTTCATATAAACACTTTCACAGACTTTATCTATCGACGAACAACCACCGAAAATTATTAAGAAATTGCCANTGTGGATTGGTATAATTTTTGTAAAATATTTTTGTCAGTGTGTTACTCTCCTTTCTATATGTGTATATGTGTTTTAATTCTACTTTTCTACTTCAACCAAAAAATAATAATAAATCGCATAATTTTTGTCTGTTAAAAACGAAAATCAACAACAATCTGTCGCTATTTTCTATGTTTTATTTTTCTTCTTACTTCCTCACTATTCTGTTTTGTTCAAGTCTACCTAAAACTGAATTCGTTTCGAATCAATGCGACAAGATGTATATAAAACAAATTTTATTCTTTTCAAAAAGTAGACAAATATGTATACATACTTACATACATATAAATATAAAGCTTTTTTAGTGTGTAACGTAAAAGCTAGCACCAAAAGGCCATAAAGCTTACCCCAAGTCCCCATCCTTTACAAAGAAAATTAAATATCAACACTAGCCCCCCCTAAAAGTATACGCCATAACAACAGAGATTTCAATTACATTTAGAATTAGAAAAAATTTCGTTAAATATGTACATATCTTTTTTACAGTATCAATACCCATACATCATCATATAAAAAAAAACATTGGCATCGTGATTTGAACTCAAGTAGATATAACTAACAAGAAAAAAAACAAAAATTTTTGATAGGCTTTGCATAACAATCAAAGCTCTTTGAATCTCATATCAAAATTTACTGACCTAAACGCGTAGTAAACATTTAGAAACCCAAAATTTGCTTTTTAACAACACTCCTATTCCACACATTTGTTAAACTCCACATATAACTAGCGCTACTTATTTTTCTAATTAAAACTGGCTTTTACGGTGTATCATGTAAATACATATATTTTACTGTGTTATTGTGTCTAATATTTTCAACCTTTATGTTACTAATTTTCGTCTGTACGCATAAAAACAATAAGTGCATTCTCACAGAGCTCTAAAACAGACAAACATATTCAAAATATAAACTTATAAACATAACACAGCCGTCTTGAAAAAAAAAAAAAACAACAACACTCATGTAAGTACAAATGAAAATGAAAGCATTTTACAATAAAGTAGAAGACTAATACGCAATTTTAGAATAGTGCCGCATAGCAAAATAATCCATACAAAAAAAAAACAAATTAGCATTAATTTCCTAAGCAAAAGCCTTGAGAGACGCGTTCACACCTTTTAAGCGAAAACTTTGTTATCTGTTGCACCAATGCTATATGTACATACAAGAGTGGACTGTAAACAAAAGTTTAGGCCACCACAAGACACTTGGAGACGAGGTTAAACTGGACTTGACAATATAGTAATAGTAAAATAGTAAATAGCAGAATCACTAATTCCAACAAACAGGGATCGAGAACGCATTCCGGTTTTGGTTTAGTTCTGCACGAGAATAAAATGTAATGTCACAAAAGAACCAAACGGGAACAAAATGAGAACAAAAGGTTCGGGAACGTTTCAAGAAGAACAAAATGAGAATGAAACTTTCAGCAACGTTTCCAATGAGAACGAAAGTATGGAGAACGTTTTCAGAGAGGATGAAAAAGAAACTAAAGTCTGGGTATCGTTCTGCTAGAGAACAAAACGAGAACAAAAGTTTTGAGAACTTAGCTATAAAAATGAGAGGCACGTCAGCGTGTTGGGATAAAATATCGTATCAATGAGAACCATGATCGTTAATTCTAAGCCAGAGGAAAGCTGGCTCATTTCAACTTCCAGATTGTTTTTCATTTTCTGTGCGAGGAAAGTTCATGTCTTAAGTCTTTCGTTGACTTAATTTGCATGATTACTTTTAAGTGCTTTTTTTAAATAATTTTAATACTCAAACATTTTAAACTAATGGAAAGTTAAGAGAAACATATTTTTAACGTGGGGGAAGTTTTTTCCCACTTCGTTCTCTGTCAGAAATCTCCTGAGACTTTAGTTTCCAAATTCTTCTTCAAGTGAAAGTTTTCTCGACTTTTGTTCCCCTTTTGTTCTTTCCAGAACGTTCCGGGAACTTTGGTTCACATTTTGTTCTTTGTGGAACGTACCCAAGAGAATCAAAGGCTTTAGAAAAGTCAAGCGGTCAAAGTAATTTTAGGTGACTTGTCCAACGATTTTCTTATGTCATCTAGAATTTTGATCATAGCAGTCAAACCGCTATTTTTCGCTCTAAAGCCAGACTGATATAGAGATAGTAAGCTAAATTCATTAACATGCGAGTATGTTTGTTGTTCTGGTATAAAGGATTCAAGGACTTAAGACAGTGCGGGTAAAATACTTATAGTACGAAAGTCATTCGGACTATCCGCAGACCTTTTCTTGGCTACCGGAATCACTCTTACAACCTTCCGTGAATTAGGGTAACACGAAGTTTGTATATTTACCATGATTAATCACGTGTGTAAGTGTTGGCAAGATATAAATTTAGTGGGCATTACATCCTCTCTCAAATGCGTTTGAATGCATTTTATAAACACCTCTTTGCCAAATCAAATTCTGACACTTTGCCTTTCGAACCTTTTAACGAAAAACATAACAGAAGGAGAAATCGCTAGGCAGGAAAAAGTTACATAAGAAGAATCTGTACGATAATCCGGACTGTCACTCTGACATGCACACGAAGAGTTTTAAGATTTAGTTCTAGGCCATTTAAGACTAGTTCAGGGCTATTTCGGAACTAGTTCAGGCTTATTTCGGACCTAGTTCAGGTTTATTTCAGGACTACTTCAGAATCATTTCGGGATAGTTCGCGACTTTTTCAGGAACATTTCGGAACTTGTTTGGAATCATTTTGGGTCTAGCAAAGAACCATTTCGGAAACGTTTCAAGACTTGTTCAAGATCCTTTCGCGACAAGTTCAAGACTTTTTCAGAACCTCTTCAAGACTACCTCAAGACAATTTTGGGACTAGTTCAGATTGTATGTTTCACCCTGAGATTCAGGGGCTTCCGATCGAATCTCGTTGCTCAGGGTTTGCCACAGAAATCTCAGGGTTTGGAAAAAATTATTAAGTTTTATAGATTTATTTGTTTTTTAATGCGATAATTTGATTTTACCTCAAAAGAAACTTACATACATACATATGTAGTACTCGTACATAGCTGTTTTATCAACCCTGCCAATTATTTGTTCAGAGCTTTCTGAATTGTAGAGAAATTTAAAAGAATTCGTAAAGATCTCTTCCGATTTTTTGCCGAATTTTCTAAAATTTAATAAACTGTGCAAACTTCGATTCTATTTATTACGAAATTTTGGGAAGAAAGTCGGTAAAGCAATGAAAATAATGCTGCTATGTGAAGAATTTTTTGCAGGATTTTTTCAGAATTTTCTTTATTTTTCATACAAAAATTTCTTTACGAGCTCGTGTCAACCACTTCATATAATTTCCTTTGAAGATTTGTAAAAAAAATAGTTACAGAAATGAGATGCTCCGAAAGATTTCGTTAAGATTTCGTGAACTTTGGTGTGCAGGGAAATTATGTTTATATAGCATTATGTTGCATGGATATTTTCGTGCCTCTATATACACATATTTTTAGTGTTTCTTTGTTGTTTACACATAGGCTGTAAGCAAATATTTTCAAAATAAGCATGACCTTGCAGGGTTAAACAATTTGTTGCTAAATTAACTTTTTGTTAAGAAATGTTAATAAACCACCACAAAAGTGACAAAAATATAATTAATTAAAGGACCTTACCCTATTTCCGGGTAGTTAGAAACTAGTCACAAAATGATCCTGAAATAGTCACGAACTATTCCCGAAATGGTTAGGATAAAGTTGTTTATTGGTCCCATTGCACTTTGATGCAATAGAACATGAGGAAACATTGCTTAGCAACATTGTTGAGAAACATCGTTTGCACTTTTCCTTCATGCGTTTTGCATCAAAGCGCACTCCAGTGGCCGTTTTTAGTAAAACTAAAATGCTAATTCAGATTCTTCGGACACCAAAACCCCCCCAGAGAGGCCTTTTAAATGTATAAATATTTGCATTTAAATAAATTTTAATTGTTTTAAATGCTGCTCTGCGACCACCATCTTCACATTGATAAACACTCTTAAAATCGCCGTCCTGATAAAACTGAGAAACTACTTTTCTATATACAATTCAGACTTCATAAATGCTTGGTTCCATCAATTCCCCAGAAAAAACTGAAAATTTCGTACACTGGTTATTATTGGTAATGCTGGTTGGTAAAGCATCTGACTTCTAGTTTTTTTTAAACATTGTAAACTCTTATTTGTTTAACTTGAACGTAGAACATCAATACCCACTGCTACTAGCATGATTGACACCAATACATACACTACTACCTAGGTTCCTTCCCTCCTCTCTAATTTTCAAATACTTACTTGTAGAATACTTGTGTCTATGGACAATTAGACGTCTTACACACCACCGCTAATTTCCTCTAAATAGTCGTAAGCGCTGTAAATATGTTAGCTTTTGCTAATCAAAATATATGAATCTCGCAAATTTCTTTGCTTGTAGCCGCTAAATGCTCGCCATCGATAGTTAATGAATTGCGTGATTGCCGTGCAGCCAGCGGCGAAATAGCCAAATTCGAAATTCAATTTGCAGGAAATCCCAAACCAGGTATAGTATTTCCGCACATTTACATACTTACATAAATTTATGTACGATTAGGTACGAGCACAATGCATAGCATAGCCAATTAACATAGAATGCTGCCTCTAACAAATCTATTATTTTTGTTTTATTGTATTAGATATACAATGGTATTTTAACAATGTACAGCTTAGAGAATCTAACAAATATCGCTTGAGAATCGAGGAAACTGTTGCTACGCTTGAAATTTTGAATGTCACATATGAAGATATCGGTTTCTATACATGTAAATTGATCAATGAAATCGGTATGACAATGTCGCGTGGCAAATTCGATCTTGCCACTACTACAACAATCACTGAGACGGAAGCTGAACAAAAATTAAAGAGCAAAAAGAAGACCGTAGTTAAGAAATCAACTGGCAGGAAATCCAGTGAACAACAACAAAAAGTACATAAAACCGAAATATCAATTGTACCCGCTGAAGAATCGGAAGAAATTGAGACGAGCGTCAATGTGATTAAGGTGCGCAGACCAGTATCTGTGTTGGTTGAAGAGAGTGGCGTATCTGAAGTGATGGAAGTGAAGGATCGTAAGATCGCCGATGCTGAATTATTGGCATCGCAACAAACGAGTAAAACAGTAACTACAACCACCACAACGACTACAAAAACAACCGAAACAATTGAGATTACCGAAACAGTGGAAATAATACGTCGGAAAATCTCACAAAAAATAATTACAATTGAAGATCTCCTAGTCATACGACAGCATGAAGAAATCAATGATTTGCTCGAAATAATTGATGCCGAATCCTTTGGCACTACAGGCGAGGCAGCTTTACGTGATTTGGCCACAATTGGGCTTCTGTTGCGTTATGGCTGCACTACTCATGAAATAATCTACATGTATGAGCAGAATATTTTCGTTGCATTACAAAAGGCGGAATCGCAAGCTGCGCTGGTACAGCTAGTCGAACGTGAAGGTCACGAAGAATTGATAACTCAGATATTGAGTGAATCAACGACAGAGGATGAGACGGTCTTGGCGGCTACAGTGGGTTTCAAGGCTTTCATACGCATGATTGAAACGTGTGAAATAACAATTGAGAGAGTTATAAGGAGATTTGTAAGAGAAGATTTTATTACGCAAGATTGGACGATATCATCCAAAGAGGTTTGCTATATTTTGCATGACATGCTTTGTTACTTACATTTTCTACATATGGGCAAATCCTAGCGTTTTGGATGTTACGTTGGGCTGTTTACTCTTTTTATCGGTAAAAAAATAGTTAAACATATTTTATGGTATTTGATGGTAAATATAAAGGAAGGTTTAAAACAGTGAAAATTTGAATTTGAACTAATGGCGATGCATTCACCCTCGAAATTTGTGCGCGGACGTTACTCTTAATTTTGAGATAATCATCTTAGTCAACAGATTTCTGCAAATTTTAATGTAGAAGAATACTTTGAGAAGAAAATAGCTAAGTTAACCAAATGTATTATAAAAACCAACTAACAGGGAAATTGTGGCAACTGTCTTTCAACTCACCACAGTCTTTCATAAGCCAGTTCTGGATATTATATTGAAAGCTCTTTACTGTCTTTCGAAAGACTAATTGGAAGTCTGCTATTGAGGAGGCCTTAGGCCGAGGCCACGCAATGAGCGGCAAAGCGGCGAGCGGCTGATCGGCTTAAAATTATAACATATGAAATACTATTGTAGTGTATTGTAGTAAAACTAAATGAAACTAAAAAATGTTCCTCTCAAAACAATCAAATATAAAAATTTAATTAGGAAAAGAAAAAAGGAGTTAAAAGTTAAATAAATTGAAAAATATATTTTTATATTTAAAACAACAAAATCTAAAAATTAAATTAGAAAAGAAAAATATTTTATCAGAATAGAAGAAAATAGTACATGCTAAAAAATTAACTAAGAACAAAAAATATATATTTTTATTTTGAAAATAAAATCTAAAAATTAAAATTAAAATACAGAAATTAAAAAAGAATAAAAAATTATATTAGAAAAAAATTTAATAAGATGCTAAAAATTAAATGAAATAAAAACGTGTCTTTCTTTTCAAAACAGTAAAATCCAAAATTTTAAAGAATATGAAATTAACAAAAGAAACCCAATTAAATAAAACAGAAGCCAAATAAAAAAAAATAAGTTTTTAAAAACTAAACAGTATCTATTGTAAACTCCTATTTGTTTAACTTGAAAAAAAATCAAAAAAAGAAAATAGTACATTCCTAAATATTAAATAAAATTAAAATATATATATTTTTATTTTTAAAACGAAATCTAAAAATTAAAATTAAAATACATAAATTAAAAAAATAAAATAAAATCAAATTAAAAAAATAATAAAATATGTTTAGATAGTAAAAATAAAGCGAAATAAAAAAATATTTTTCTTTTCAAAACAATAAAATAAAAAATATTAAATAAAAAAAAAACAAATTTAATTAAAAATAAAAAAGCAACAGATAAATATTTTTCTTTTTTAAACAATAAAATCTAAGAATTAAAAGAAAAATATATTAAAAAAGGAAAAAATTTTAATTAAGATCTTGTCGTTAAGAGAGTTTATTTTTTAGCGAAATTTTTTCATAATGAGTATGTATGATACACAAATTTGAGATTTTGAATTGCATGATTTTATTCCGTTTTTGGTTGACTATTTCTCGGATTTGCCCATATGTGTGTACTTGGTAGAGATCGTCTAGATCAAAAATAAAAGTTGTTTACGCATAGACATGTACGATAGGTTATGTCCAGCTATGAGTAGTTTCAAACCAAATATGTAGTTATAGCTAGGCGGCCTTAGTGGTTTCATATCGTTTAAAAAGCTTTTGAGAGTACTTGGTGGGCAATTTGATAAGTGAGCAACTTTTCAAAACAAAAGATACTTCTTCCGCAAAAAGCGTTTCATTTACATATTTTTGCTTGGTGAATGTCCTCAAGAAACAGCATTAAATTTACTATAGCGCACTTTTTTATTTTTGTAGAAAGTAACGAGTTTTATAAAGGCATATTTTCACTAAGCCATATTTTGGCGACAAAAATTTTTCTACACAAATTTATTTTCACAAATTCCTGCCTATACCGTTAATGCTGTTGTTCCAACGAAGATGGTCGATTAACTTATTTTGTAGAATTTTTTTGGCATACACTTTTATAAAAACCTTTAACAAAGTTGACGACAGCAGCGGAAATATACTGGTGGCAGAAATAATAGACTCGCCTTGTTTTGGCCAAGTTTGACCATATTTGTTTGTTTCGAACATATGTACTTTGCATTTTGTAGCCTCTTGTATCTTACACTTTATTATACTAAACTTGAATGAGCTATAAAATAGCATACCAAAAAATCTACTAAAAATTTATAATATTTGAACAAAGTTTGAAATGTATAGACTTTTTCAAAAAAATATTAAACATTAAATAAGTTAAAGAAATAAGCTAAATAACAATAATAATAGATTGGCGCTTACACATATGTTAGTGTTTGGCCAAGCTTCTCCTCCGATTTGTGGCGTGCGGCTTGGTGTTGTCACACAAAGCGGAGGGACCTACAGTTTTACGCCGACTCCGAACGGCGATTGTATTTTTATGAGAAGCCGTTTTTCATGGCAGAAATACACTCGGAGGTTTGCCATTGCCTGCCGAGGGACGACCGCTGTTAAGAAAAAAACCTTTTTTCTATATTTTTTACGATGTTGCTTTGACCAGGGTTTGAACCCAGGCGTTGCGGAGTGGAAGCGCGCACTGCTTACCACTACACCACAGCGGCGGCGAATAAGCCAAAACTGGTCAAAATAAGGTGAGTCTGTTATGTCTGCCACCAGTGTATGTAGGGGTATGTTCTTTTTAAGTAAAAATAAATTATGAAAGCGTGAAATCAAGAAATACTTCTATTCAAAAAACTTGAATTGTATTATTACAGATTCTCTAAATAGAAATTGTCAATTGTAATTAAGCTCTACCGAGTACTAGAGGGGATGCCAATAGAAATGCACTTTTTTATTTGTGCTAAACATATTTTTATTTTGTACGTAGGACATCATAAAAAATTTATAAAAACAATGTGAATTATTATTGTTGAAACACACTTAAACAAACTGAGAAGCAAGAACATGCGATTTAACGTCTTGCGATGTCTTTCCTTTTTAACATTTCTCGCACAATTGAAAGCGTTATTAGCGAAATTGGACCACAATTGTGTGAAATTTTGATTAAAAATTTCGCGAAAACATAAAAGTCTGTCACTACAGTTGGGGTGGCCATTTGTTGGATACTGTTTTCCACCTTTAATTGCAGTAACTATATCAACTTTATATTAAAATACAAACAACGCATAGTGTAAAATAATTAATTACCTTTAATTCATAATTAAAATGTGCGTCCTTGTAGGAACACCTTTTATTTTGGGTATTTTTTTTTCCAAGGCCAACATTTTTACCTTTCCATTTTTTTAAATTTAATAGCCCGTGTTGTATATAAAAAAATTTGCGCTATAAAAATTTAATTATCTACTTACCCTTCTAAGCGCTGATTTTTATACCCGAGCGCACTTGTTGTTTATATGTTTGTATGTAGGTAGTTGTCGAAGTGATTTATTAGAGCACGCAAACATGTCTGAAAAGAGTAGGAAGTTTATTAGAAACGTGTCTATGTACGATTCGCAAAATTTGTAATTAATCCGAAATTAAAGCAAAAAAAATAATAATCGTAGATTTTTTTTCTAAGCTTGCACATATGTATATATGTAGTATATGCTCTACACTAAACTGCATTAAATCTATATGTATATTATTTTCTCTTTCTGCCTAAAACTGCTAACACAAAAATGCAAAAAAAAAAAAA